GTGTCTTCTTATCATTACTATTTTATTACTATTATTATCATTGTCATGATTACAATTGTAGATTACGACTGTCATCACTGTGTGCTGCTACTGTAAAATCTTGAAACTGATAGTTCTTTTTTTTCTTTTGTATCTAAAGCATTAATCTTTTTTACTTCGTCCATCTGAACTAATTAATTAATTAATTATTTGGCTGATTGTATATATATATATTTGTCGAAGACTAGAAAAGGGAAGCACTATTTTGATTATTTGATTATTTCTGTCGCCATTTATGGCTAATATCAATTGCTGTTATTTTTGCTACTATGAGCTTTTTTTTGTGAAACGAAGAAAAAAAAGTATCTTTGACCAAAAAAATGTTCAGGCAATTTATGGCTCAGTTAACAAAGGAAAGCAATTTCAGGTTGATATGAGAAAAATTAACAAGAAATTTTATGAATTAAAAAAAAAAATCTCACAAAAACTCATTTCATCCAATCTAAACACCTATGTGCTGAAAAATTTCGGCCGAAGTTATTATCTTATCAATTTGAACAAATAATTTATGGCGATGAATTTCGGGCTTTTTATATCAAGAAAGGTCAGGAAAAGATCTAATTGGCTTTTTTAGGATGTAAATAGGTCAAAACACATCTGAAAAAGGATGTAGCAGCAAAATTGATATAAACTTTAATCGAAATATTTGCACAAATAATTCTTTCAACAATTATTTTTACTCTCTTTAATGATAATTATACATTCATAATGACATGATATGAAAAAATAATATACTTGAATGTTTTTGATCGATCAATCAATTCTATTATATACCGTTCTCGATTAAATTTCCCGTAGAACTAAAATTTATTAAAAAAAATTTGTTCAATCGCTTTTTCATAAAACGTGGAATATTACAAGAATGAAAATAGTAAAATAAATGATCTCTGAATAATAAGTATGTAAATTTTTGATATGGATGGATGCAATTGCACTTACCTGCTTAACGTTCATGGCTTGCCTAACAATAATAATGGAATAAAGTAACGAAGGTAAGAAAAGTGTGATGATGCCTGAAGCGTTGTTGCCATGACGATCAATTTCGATCATTTTTCAGCTTTTTCCTTTTTCCATTCAGCTTTTTCTTTTCATAATGGAAGAAAAAAAAGGTTGTTAGTTGAATATTTGTTACATTCGGGTAATTAATTGGCTATTAGTGTATGGGTAATTGTGTTGGTGGATTTAAGAATCATAGGAGAAAGTTACAGCACCACAAAAAAATTAGGTAAATGTTTTTCTTTTTTCTTTCTCCTTTTTTTTCACAACATTTTTTCTCTCTCTTTCCTTTTTTTTTTTAAAAAAAAAGCAAGTTAATTATAAACATATATTTAAATAATTTAATGTTATTATTGATTAAAATTTATTATTAAATTAGAGATTTAGGAAAATACGAATTTGTACTTTGGGCATTGATGGTGCAGGAAAATCAACTGCTATATGTGCATTAGCTTCAGGTAATTTTGTTTTTTTTTTCTTTCTTATTTTTTAAATTTTAATACTACAATTAATAGTGTAAAACTACAATCAATAGTGATAATTGCTGTGATACTTTAAAATCCAGATAATGCTAAAAAACATTGAATGCCGAAATCGATTTTATTAATGGTATTAATTGATATGAAATTATCGCTGTACAGGTGAAATAAATGATATTTTGCCTACGAATGGTTTCTCGCTACAAGAATTTAAATATCGAAAAGCTGAAATTATCACATATGATTTGGGTGGTGATGAACGAATACGTTCGATATGGAAAAATTATTATCCTGAGGTATAATTTTTATAAAAATTAATTAAAAGCTATCGTTAACTTTTTTTGTTATCCACTTTTTTCAGTTCAAAAAAAAAAGTTTTTAATTGTTAAATTGTTTCAACAGTGAAGATTGTATGGGGAAATTAAATGAAATTAAATTAAATTGGAATCCCGTTTATATTTATTAGTAAAAGATTTAAATTTAGGTATTTGGTGTAATTTATGTAATTGATGGAAGTGCAAGAGATCGTATCGAAGAGAGTGGTCAATTGTTGAAGGATGCAATTAGTGATAAAGATTTGAATAATAAACCATTTTTGGTAATTTTAAATAAAAAAGATCGGGAAAGATGTATCGATGAAATTCAGCTCTCGGATCGGTTTAATCTGCATAATTTAGCAAATCGATATCAGACGCAAATTCGAGTGGTAGGCTGATTTTACTTGCAATATTATAAATTGTAATTCACTGTAATTTTAATATACTTTATAATAAAATATCAGTTATTGTAAAGTACTGCAACTGATCTAACAAAAAGATAGTGATATTTGTTATCGAGCGGAAGTCTATAAGCAAATATTAAGATATCACTGGTAATTATTATTACTATTATTACTACTATTTTTGCTATTAATATCACTATCACCATCATTATCATTATCATTATCAACAATTATTTTTTTATTATTGTTACTACTATTATATATTATTTATCATTACCACTATTATCACGATTAATATCATTATCTCTATCATTATTATTATTATTATTATATTGTCATCATCAACAATACTATTTTTATTATTACAATAATAATAATATTAATCATTATCATTATTATCGTTATTGTTATTAATTATAATTTCTTTTAATATTATTATTGCTAATATATTATTGCTGCAAATGTAAGTTAAGATATTATTAAATTATCAGTTAATATCACAGTCTTACAAGGTTAACACTCTCTTTGTCATCGTAACAAACTTTATGAATAAGATTTTAAGAAAAATATTTCAATAAGCTATCAATTTGTTTATTGATTAAGGAAATTTGTCAATTAAACATTGGTAGTGGAAAAATGATGGATGAAACGCTTAAAGATGGCTTCGAATGGTTATTGGAACAAATTTACTACAATTATGATGAATTAGAGAAACGAGTAAATGAAGCATTGAAAAAGTATAAACGTCAACAAAATGAGGAACGAATAAGGCGTCAACATCATTTAGCTGCATCAGTAAGCAGGTAGGTGTGGAAGTTTTTCTGAGAGAGATTTTAGTTGATGTAAATTTTAAAGAATTTATTCAAAAAAAAAAAATTTTGCAATTTTTATCAGTTTTTCTTTTTTTTTTTTTTTCAAGAAAGAAATGGAGGAGAATTTACCAAAAAATAAATTTATCCAAACAAATGCTTGATAAAATTTGAATTCTCTCCCAACTTTCTCAATTCCTTCTGCAAAATTTTAAAATGAGATAGTAGATTGAAATTTTTGCTAAAAATCTAGCAAATGAGAAAGAGCTGATTGCCATGTTACACCATCATACTACTTTCCAGTTCAACTACTTCCGAGGAGCAAGTAAATAATGCAGGTACAATAGCACCAGCGGAAGCGGTAAAAACAGCAAAATATAATGCGGAACGAATAGATGAAAATGCACTCATTAATCATCATTCAACAACAATTGCACCATCTCAAAAAGCCAAAAATATCAATCAAATAGTTAATTCGGAAAGTGAAAATGAAAATGAAAGAAGTAAATGGAAAAGGGTAATTTTCCTTTTTTTTTTTTGGATAAAATTAATAAAGAATTTTTCTTTAATTGAAAAATTTTCTAATCTATTTTGTGAAAATTTAAGAATGAGAATTTATAAAGTTTATAAAGTGAAATATTTACTTGAACATATTAATTTTCAGATTTTATAATTTTCGAAGTATAGTTAATTTACAGTATCTACGAAATATGATCGCTCCAACGGATAATTTACCTTTTTCATCTTTTGATTCAGCAAAGATGAAATATCCGCAAATATTTGAAGTAAAAACATCACTGCCATCATTGAATGTTTCAAAGAAAACAACGAGCGTACAAACGGATGAAACATTCATTATGAATGGTAATACTGACAGTAATAATTAAAGAACAATTAGTATATTTAAAATTTACTTTTTTTTTTTGAATTAGATTATTCCGAATTTGTCTACTGAAATTTATTTCGTGAAAATAATAACATGTAATTTCAACAGTTTCAAACTTCATCTATTTTTAAGCTTGTGACATGAATCAACCGCTCTATCAGCTTTCAGGAGACTTACAATCGACGTCAAAACCTACCCGTATTACTCAGCTTGTGCCGCTAACAGTTGTACCAAAGGAACGACGAAAGCGTCCCACCCAACCACTTCGTAGGAGGACTGATTCGATTTAAATTCTTTGCATCTAAGAAATCTCGTGCCTTAATGTTTAAAACGAAGAATGCCTTGTCTTGCCGAAATAATTCCAGTTAGAGGCATTTATTAAATCAATATACAAATAAGTTGAGTGTCAAACCCCTTAAAATTTAGAGTATTAAAACAGTGAAGGACAAGTAATTCAAAGTCGCCTTCAGAGTTATCGTTTCTTTGTCAAAGATTTTTTGAACATTTCCGAATCTCTAACAATTCTATCTGCGACTCAGCAAAACTCATAAAAAAGACAACTATCTGTTTAAAGTATTGAAAAACGGAAAATGTCAGCACCAACTAGTATTTTTCTGAACCAAAATTCAATAATTATCACTCAGTGTAAAAATTAAATAAGAAAATATGATCCTTTCCCCATCTTCCTAATTTCGCCCGATTCACTATCTTTAAATACACTATGCTTCTTGAAGAATGAACTCTAAGATACGTTACATCCAAATTTCATAGCTACCTTGTACATCAATCTATTCCTCTTGAAATATGACTTCTGATTTTCTGTTATTTGTGCCTTGCAGGTACAGGTTCTATTTTCAAATTATGCTTGTGGTAGAAAAATAAATAAATCCGTTAATTCAAAAAAGCAACAACATAGTATACAAAACAAGCTTTAGAGAAATTACTTAATCAAAAAGACCAAAACCCATATCATCATCTGATTCCTCTTTTGGTTCTTCTTTCTTCTTATCCTCCTTTTGCTCTACAGCTGCTGCTGCAGCAGGTGCTGCTGTTGCCGCTGCTGAAGGTGCTGCTGCCCCTGATGGTGCACCACCAATACCACCAACATTTGAACAGATGTTAGTTATCAATGACTGAAATAGTCGGAGTACACATAGTTATAATGAAACCCAAAAACTTCTAAGAGCATAACCGGGAATTCTTCAGGAACAAATTGATGTAACCTTAAATTCTCCTCTTCCCCATCCCTATATCATAAAAAGAAAACGAAAATTTTTATTGAAAAACAGCGATTCCACATTCTTCCCTGAAAATCAAAACGATAGCAAGGGAGAAAAAATTGAATTATTGTGCATACCTTTACATCAACTCCTTCCAAGGCCTTAGCAAATAATCCTGGCCAGAATGGTTCCACATCAACATGTGCAGCCTTCAAGATGGTTGAAATCTTATCCCCAGTGATTGCAACTTCATCATCTTGCAAAATAAGTGCCGCATAAACGCATGCCAATTCCTGATTTGCCATTTTTTCTTTTTACCAAGTGCACGTCGCTATTAAGCCTTAGCTCTCTCTGAGAACAATGCACTTTGTCTGAAGCAACATCTATGAAACATTAAACTTATTCAAATCGATGACCTATCTACACCCCTACACTCCAGTGAAATTACGAGAAATAGAAAAAAGCACAGTTACTCAACTTATCATATGCAAAGCCTACCCTTATGAGAACCATAAACATGAAGTTTGGTATCGATCACATAAAGGCTATTATGAATCACAGTATTCAGTAACGTCGTTGCAACAGTAACGAAACCGGTATATCAACCAATTTCAAGAAAGAATTGTAAATGTTTTAGTGTAAATCTTTTAAGGTCTATTTCACTGCCAAATTTACACATATAATTAAAAATAATCAATAAAACTTCATGTCGAATAAACGATCAAATTACACAACCACTTTCCAAATTATAACATTTAATCTGATAAAAACAATAACAAATAGAATGAAAGAGCATTACAATTTTCAAGCAACCAATACACAAGCACCACCTACAGCTTTGATTTTCTGCTCCGCTGAGTGTGAAAAATATTTCGCTTTGACTATAACAGGCTGTTTCGGTAAAAGACCTTTGCCAAGAACTTTGAAATAGCCAGCTCGGACAACATCAATTACTGGTGCCTTATCTTTCCTGTCTGCATAAGCTTTTCGCAAATTCTCCGATACCAATGACCATAGCTTATCAACATTAACTGTCGGGCAGTACAGTCGATTACGTCTCAGATGATAATTTCGCATACCAACCTAAAAGAACAATTTAAAAGATCCCTAATATTATTCAAAAAATACCACTCAAAGAGATGATCTATATTATTGCCCGGTTATTCATGAGCCCCCATCTAAATCTTCACTTATTAGCTGCATTTTAACTATTAAACATTCCTATGAGGTTTTTAAAACAAAGTCTGCTTATTTCTTAAACAAAATTGTTATTTTAAAAACCTGAAAAAATAATACTCTTATAGTTTATCTGTCTCCTCCATGTATAAAAGAGTGTGGTATGCTACTGTGTTAGAAACCGCTTAACCAATTTTATTATTTTCAAATACAGCATGAGTGAGGAAGGAAGTGTAAATGGAAAAGAATAAACTATCCAATCTTCCTCTAATATAGGACTTGAGTTCTGGAAGTGCGGAACGATAATGCGTCATCCTAAGAGTTCAAACAGCAGGTCGCAAAATACTTCATAAAAATAAGCAATTTATATTACCTTTCCAAAATAACCCGGATGATATTTGTCGAAGTTAATACGATGATGGTGTTGTCCACCGGCATTACCTCTACCACCTGGATGCTTACGATGTTTCCCGATACGTCCATGTCCATGCGACACATGACCTCTTAATTTCCTAGTCTTCTTCTTTGATGTAGCCATTCAAATCCTGCGAAAGTAAACAAAGTCAACTAAGAATCGATTCGAATTCTTTACGGAATTACTTAAAATTCCACCATAAACTCCCATCAATTGCTTTATTAATAAGAAGCAACCCAAATAAAGCAGTAAAAGAGTACAGTTACACGGCAAATAACTACTCGACCAATTAGACCCACATACAGTGATGTCAGAACATAATGTGATAAGAAGAAAAGTCAAACATAACTTCTAACGTACGATCACGCAAACAACCACAACACCGACCAAATACAATGATATCAGAAGATAATGTGACAAGGAAAAAAGTTAACCGCAACTTTCTAACGTACGACTACGCAACAACCATACCCTTTACCCACCAGCCGCCACAGAACCGCCTAATTCAATACCCCAAAAACCAAATTATCCAATCGTTTCAGACCAAAGCATATGAAAATGAAATCCCAGGTCTGGAAGTGATTTGGGTTAGATATCTTCGCGTACGTTGCCATGGTCATGATAAAGATGGAACGGTTGGGTGAATTTTAAATTTTACTCTTTCTTCTTTTAAATGTCCACTAATAGCACATTGCATTATTTTAATAGAATGTTAAAATTATTTCCAATATAATATGTAATCTTATGGATGACAAAAAATTTTTAGTCGGAACATGGCTGGACTCGCGTGATGAAGATTGTTGTTTGTATTGGCTTTCTAGGAAATCTCATCACGTATAGCTTCAATGCTAATTGTTTTAGCTTGAAGAAATTTGAATCCTTTGCGAAGATTAATTGGTTTTTTTTTTTTCGATGGATCTTTGCTTAAGGAAATGGTGCTCACTTTAATTGTTAAAAGAGATTTAAGGTCTCTTTGTACAGAATCAATTGAAAATCAATTTTGGTAATACTCAGTTATTCTTTATGAAGAATTCTTGAATATTTATCATTATAGGTATTTTTTATAGGAGCTTTTCGTTTCATTTCTCTGGAAAAATCCATTATTTTGGTTTATTCTGTTAATTATTTGGCCATTTATGTTACTTTAGTCCCTGAAAGACCAGCTACAAAGTTTTTACAGCGAAAGCGTACAATTTAACTCGGAATTCGAGAAAAGATACATCACTAGACAAAATTGGTACAGTTATAGGATAGACAATGGAAAGGACATATACACAACGAAATCATTTATATAAGTTTATTCATTCCTTTCTAATATGTTAGTTCATATGATGATAAAGGAAGAAAGGAGTTAGAAATTTCATTCCATTGTATACTTTATTGTGTTTCGAAAATTATGGTTATGTATTATTAATTGTTAAAAGTGTCATGAATTTAATTTTGATAATTTTAGTTTTTGCGAATGAATCGGATGTTTGCATTATTGCATCAACCGTAATTTCAGTTTTTATTGTAGAAAGGGAAATGGCAGCATTGGGAGAGAAATTGATGAAGCGTTTGATCCAGCTTGGAGCTACGATGGCAGTTGGTGCTGGAGTGGTATCAAAGGCATTGTATAACGGTTTCTTTTTAATGGCTTTTCTTATCTTCGTTAATGTTTCATTAGTAGATATCTGAAGAATAGAATACCAGATTTCTTGTAGGAATAGCAAAATTGTAGGCAGACTCAAGTTCAGGCATGGAACATACTTTACGTTCAATAATACCATCTTTTAGATACCAATATTGTTGAAAATTTATAAAGTTGCTGCTTAATTAGAATTTTAATTTAAAAGTTTTGTTTGTTCAAATACTTTAATTACCAACATACAAATAATTAATATTTCAAGTGAAATTTTGGAACATTAACAATCAAGAATTAAAAAAATATAGAGTAAATAGTGAAAAGTTGATGCGTTACATGTTTAGTGAATGTGGCCCAGTACTAAAGGCATTGGAAATATGTAAGTAATGTTTTTCAAAAGTGGTCAAGTAACGTTTTCTGAAAATTTAAAAAAGAAATCGAGAATTGTTGCAGTTGATGGTGGACAACGAGCTGTAATCTTCGATCGTTTTACTGGGGTGAAACCGGAGGTTGCTGGCGAAGGAACGCATATGATTATTCCGGGAATCCAAAAACCAATCATTTTTGATATTCGATCAACTCCGAGAGTCGTCTCTACGATTACAGGAAGTAAAGGTAGAATGTTTTTTCTTTTTGTTTGTCTCATGATTTTAAAATAGACTGAAATAATATTCCTCATTTATATATATATATATATATATCGCAGTAGTTTGAAAATTTCTAATAATACATGAATTATTTTAAAAAAATGTAATTGGATGTAAACGAATTTTTTACCATCACTGTTATTTTAGACCTGCAAAATGTGCAAATAACATTGAGGATTTTGCACCGACCCGAACCGAACAAGTTACCGAATATATATTTGAACATTGGACGTGACTATGCAGAAAGAGTGTTACCTTCGATCACAAATGAAGTTCTGAAATCTGTCATTGTAAGTAACCGAAATTTTAAAGCATAAAGCATTATTTTCCGTTTGTTAATTCAAGGTACAGCTTATTTTTCAACAAGACTCTGCATGCATGAGTTTTCTAAAGAGGGCTCTTCAAGCAAACTTTTTAAGTCATCCATAATTAACTTATTTTTTAAACCTATTATTATTCTATCAGTCATGGATTTATTTGTCGGAATATATTTGTGTATATTATCGTATGATCTAGCAGAATGCATAATTTTTCTTCAACTTTCTCTAGGAAAATCACTTCCAAAAATTGCGCCATTGCTAGAACATTCATCTTTAATTTCAGGCTCAATTTGACGCACACGAAATGATCACACAACGAGAAAGTGTCAGTCATAGAGTTTCTCTTGAATTATCAGAGAGAGCCAAACAATTCGGCATTTTATTAGATGACATTGCCATTGTAAGTTTAATGAAGTCACTTTTATTATTATGAGATTCATATAAATGGTTGTGGTGAGGCAGTGACCGATCGATAGAGAATGCCATCACTCCTTCACTGTGAATGAGTAATAGCATAAAGATGTCAACATTTTCTCACAGTGAAATGAATGACCCCTTGATAAAAAGATTGGCATTTGTATAGTTTTATGTTATTTTTGAGCCTAGAGATGATAAAAATTCAGTGTCGATGTGTATTCAATTTTTTCGTTTTTAAAATTTGTGAAAAATTTTCAGACGCATTTGTCTTTTGGGCGGGAATTTACTGATGCTGTAGAGATGAAACAGGTAGCTCAGCAAGAAGCTGAAAAAGCTCGTTATCTTGTCGAAACAGCGGAACAAATGAAAATTGCAGCTGTAACGACTGCAGAAGGTGATGCACAAGCAGCGAAGCTTCTAGCTCAGGTAAGGAACATATATATATATATATATGTACCATTTATCCTTATGTATGTTTGCAATGATTTAGTGAATTGTGGATGGTATTAGAGAGATTATTGCAGGCGTTCAAAGAAGCGGGTGATGGTTTAATTGAGTTACGGAGAATTGAAGCTGCGGAAGAAATAGCTGAAAGGATGGCAAAGTCCCGAAATGTTGTGTATTTGCCGAATAACCAAAATACGCTCTTTAATATGCCAGCAATATAGTGAAGCCAAATTTTCTTTGAGTGATAGTGTTGAATTCGTCACTGTATAATATATGGTGCAAATTATTTAAATTTTTATTCTTTCTCATATTAGTGCTACGGTTCTAAGTGTATTGTTATGAACTTGTTACTTTTCTGTTTTTTTTAATTTCATAAACTGTTTGCATTTTTCCTTGTTTTTTTAAATCGTTAGAGCGGTTAATTAGCTGTTAATATATTTTATATTTCGAAACTTTTTTATACAGTTGATGATTTGAGATCCATTACAAACGAATATAGTCCGGCATGTGTTGGCATCTCATTTGCATTCAGGGGAAGCTGAAGATTGAGGAAATAAGATAAATTTATCTGAAGTATATATAGATACACAAAAAGCTTCTTCCTCTTTTGCTGAAGTTGTTAAGTGTTACAATTTGATAGAAAGTTTCTCGTTTTACTTAGTCTCTATTTTGGATTAATAGACATATGGAAGTAATAAATGAAAAGCTAGGACATATTCTTCGAAATAAAACTGAATGTTACTGGAAAAAAATTCGGAAGTGTGTAAATGTGTTGATTATAAGTATTATTCATGCGAATTCAGGGAAGAGTGTTTTGGATTTGTGAAAGATAAAATGCCTTTGTCATGCCGATTTTATGCAAATCAGTTTCCTGATGTAGAGGATACGGTTATGGTAAATATACGCCAAATCGCTGAAATGGGTGCTTATGTATCGCTTTTGGAATATAATAATATAGGTATATTCCCATATAATGCTTTTTTTTTCTTGGAGGAGAAAATAAAGGTTTTCTGTAAGATTTAACTATATACTGGAGAAAATTTCACGTATAGTAATGTTTTATGCCTTCAGCGCTGTTATAAATAACTATTGAAGTATGATGATGAAGCATCGAAGTGATACGAGTTTCAGGATTTTTTCTAAATTATGTGCTTTACTTATATATTTAGGTGTTTTAATTAATTGACATTAGCGTACTTGTAGAAGGGATGATATTGCTATCAGAACTTTCACGACGACGTATCCGATCAGTAAATAAGTTAATACGAGTTGGTCGAAATGAGTGTGTTGTTGTTATACGCGTTGATAAAGAGAAAGGTTATATTGATTTGTCGAAGAGACGAGTTTATTCGAAAGATTCGATACAGTGTGAAGAACGGTTCGCCAAAGCCAAAGCTGTCAATAGGTTACTGATTACTTTGTAAAACTATTTTTTAGTACTGAAGAATTTAAGTATTTGCTACAAATTAATTATTTCATAGAAATAATCTTGCAAAAATTAATTTGTCTTGTTAGACGAAATTGCACGCAGAATATTAATCGCTAAAATTGCTCGGTTCTTAGGCTATTTTTATCGATATTATTAAGATGTTAGCATACGCTGATTTATACTTTATCGATGTTTTTTTCTGATTTGCCTGTTTCGAGCATTAGTGATTGTATTTTTTCCGATCTTGTGAAAATGATTGCCATCGGTAACTGTTAAAGTTGTTAAAAAATTAAGGAAATGCATAAAAATTGTATCGGTTATTTAATTCATGAGCATTATTTTAGTTTATAAAGTTAAGCACTATTATTAATTTTACAATTTTAGTATCCTTCGACATGTAGCCGACCAGTTAGGTTATGATTCTGAAGAGCAGTTGGAAGAGCTGTATGAGAAAACAGCATGGTATTTCGATAGAAAACTGAAGAAGAAGGGAGCTGCATTTGATATTTTTAAGAAAGCTATCACTGATTCATCTGCTTTGGATGAATGCGACATAACACCGGATATTCGTGAAAAGCTACTGATAGATATTAAGTTTGTTTAAGCCTTTTCTATCTTAGATATATTTTTTCCTTGTTTGACAAAAATTAAAAAAGTAAAACCAAAAGAAAATAAAAAGATAAGCAAAAAAATCTAGTAGTCAAGGAGTCATACTTTTAGTTAAGTTATGAGGTTCCGTCCGGGGAGTTATAGACAGTTTATTTTCTAGCCACAGTCAGAATTAACAGTCGTTACTAACGTTTCAGAAAAAGACTAACTCCACAAGCCGTGAAGATACGGGCTGACATTGAAGTTTCGTGTTTCGCATATGATGGGATAGATGCTGTAAAAGAAGCTCTGATTGGAGGACAGAAATGCTCAACACCGGAAATGCCAATTAAGGTAACCAGGGAAGTCGAAGAAATATATGCACAAATTTTTAGTTACTACGATAATTTAAAAAATTTAGTTCTGGAATAGCACTGAAATTTATAATTAAGAGATTTTTATATTGAAGGGACAATTTTTCCCATTGTACTTGTAAGTGTTTTATTTGCAGATCAATCTTATAGCAGCACCACTTTTTGTTGTTACAACACAAACATTAGAAAGAAGTGAAGGTTTGGAAGCAATAAATAAAGCTCTTACTTTAATCAAAAACACTATCGAATCTTATCAGGGAAGCTTTAAGATCGTCATGGCTGTAAGTTGATTTTAAATTCCTAAAAGTTTGTTTGATTTTGTTAGGAGGCCAGTTCTTTGAGATAAGATCACTGTTCAGAGATATGAGCTTTGTACATTCTTAACTGCTAATTACTTCGGAACGAATTATGCATTTAGATTAATATGCTGAAATTCATTAACCGATCAATTTATAGAACTGAAACTATTGCATGCTAAGACGTGAAACGTCTATTCTAAAATACAACATGATCATATCAGACTGCAATCATCTTTTATAAAAAGTCAGCGGCAATGCACGTTTAATTAAATTTGTGAAATTTTAGCCGAAAGTAGTGACAGATTTGGATGAAGAAGAAATCAAGAAGCGAATGGAAACAATGGAAAATCTTGTTGGAGAATTGAGTGGTGAGGAGGATGAGGATGATGATGATGGTTTGGTGGCACCGAAAGGATTAGATCAGCAAGCAGATGCCGAGGAAGCAAATCGGAGGAATAAAAGCGATAATGATTCTGACGAACTTGATGAATGATTAAAAAATTTCCCTGTAGTGTCAACTAGTAAAGAATATGTAATTTTTTAGACGACATGGAAAAAGATTACGAAAAGATTTTTGGGACTTGCTCTTTCAATAAATAGTAATAGGAGATTTCGAAAAGATGCGGCATAATGGATTTCTTCTGAAATTTGTTAGTTATTCTTATTTCTTTTAATTTTTCAACATACATCAATGAAATTTTGTTGTTTTACTTTATTTCAACAGTTAAATGCACAAGTAGCATTTTTGTTATGATAATAATGCATATAAATTCCGGAAGCATCCCTTTTTATTAACATTTTTCCCTTTTTTATTGCTTGGTTTGTTCGTCATTTCAAATTTCTCTTCTGATTAATCCGTTGTCGGTGTAAACTTTACATTGGATAAATATTTTATATGTTTCTTACGTTTTCATGTCAAGATTTGTTTAGAACTGCATGTGTAAAAAAGATATGAAGAAACTGATTCAAAATGACGGAAGCTTGGAAAAAAGCATCATCGAGAAATCTGTCGTAGGATTTTGCACAGTGTGAAGAATTCACCGGTATATATGATTTTTCGTCCATTTTTATTCCTCTGCAGGATGATATCATCATTAAACTGTATGTGTAACTTCGACTGTATATTAGAAAGTTGTTTTAAAAGTTACAAATTTACAGATTATCTTATATTTATTTTGTTTTCCGAGGATTTCACGCTTGAATTATTAAATAATCTATTGAATTATTTCAAAATAAGAATGATGGATGAAAATTAAAATGAAGAGATATGCCTAGATGATTTGAATTTGTTGTTAAAAAGGTCGTCATTGATGAGAAGATGATAATGATGATGATGATTGATACATATTTCAGTAACATTGGAAATAAAAACGTTAAATGATGATAGCTGTAATGAAGATGAAAGTGAGAGGAATAAAATGAATGAAATGGAAGAATATGATTGACAGGAGAAGAAATTCTTCCACCTAATATGACTGATTTACTACAAACTTAACATGATAAAGATAAAGAGAAAGTGTGTTTGGAACAAGTTTTTTCAATAAACATTGAAATGTGACAACAATATTTGTGGCACACTTTTGTTTTTCTTGGGACCAACTATTGGAAAGTATTGTATCGAGGATGAATGCATGAAAGAGTATGAAAAATTGTTAAATGGACTAAATACGAATTAATGAATTGTTATTACTTTAATAAATTATTAGTTTAAAAAAAAATAAGAAAATGAAAAGTTTTGTTGAAATTTCGTCAAAAATTTTCTGTAGCGATAAAAAAAATTGATCATTTGTGATATTCATTAAT